GACAATTGCAGATTTCCACTGTTGAGGGAGAACCCCTCGCATCCAAATAAGATTGAAAAGACGTAAAAGGACTATAAGGGCTGTAGAATGCAGATGTTGTAGCATGCTGATATGAATATCATCAGGCCCGGCTGCCGATGACTGGCAAGCGGAAAGCGTGGACTCTAGCTCTAGAAGAGTGAAAGGTAAATTATATGGCTCAATTCCATTAGAAGAGGAATCCAAGGACAATTGCTCCTTGGTAGACTTAGATGCGAGAAATGAGGGACAGAGGTGAAGCCCTTGAGAGACACGAGCAAGATAGTTCCCGATTTCTGTGGCAACTTCAAGAGGTTCCGCAACACTAACACCTGCAACCCGCAGAACAGGAGCTGGGTCCAAAGCGCACTTGCCACACAACTGCCGTACCTTCTTCCAAACCGCACACATAGGGGAAGCCGAGGTAATGGTAGACACATAGTCTTGCCAACAAGTGCGTTTAGCGTCGCATATAACGTGGCGAGTGACTGCCCTTGTCCGTTTAAAATCCAAGAAACGATCTGAGGTCCAGTTATACTGATAACGGCCCCACACAGCGCATTTCAAATGCACTGCATGGGAACACACAGGAGACCACCAAGGCACGTATGTCTGAGAATGCCTGCCTGAGGTTTGAGGAATAGAACGTGATGCTGCAGTCAAAACTAAGGCCGAAAACTGGTGCACAAGTTCATCAATAAAAAACAAAGAAGGGTCCTCACAAAAGGTACTAAGATGAGAGTATAAGTCCGAATTCGCTCGTCCAAATCAACAAAGGCTACGAGGCGGTCGGGAAGATTTAGATTTTGCCACCGAAGTGGCTAGTTTATTGTGCACCCCATATCCATCCTGTGGACGGTAGCGCAAGAGCATATGGATACACAAAAGGCCCAGGAACTAGGCCCCAAAGGGTTAACAGGAATACATATGGATTTATATCTACATATCTATAGTTCACTTATCTGTTACAAGCAAATTTAGGAAATTTGCTTAGTATATCTGGTATCTTATTTTCATTAATAAGATATCTTGACATGTCACATAGGTTATTATACTGTCTGTCTCTGTATTCTTCAATAAGTGGACAATTAAGCACATAGTGTTCAAGACAGTGACCATATGCCTGATCACATAATTTACATTTAGTTTGATCATCATCTGTGTGTCTCCCAAACTGCCAGAAGTACTTGTAACCAAGCCTAAGCCTGGCCACTACAACATCAGTCAGTCTGTTCACATTGCAAGTAAGAAGAATAGGAAAGTGATCACTGTCATGCAAATCCGTGAGAATGGACCAAGCGTAATCAAGTGCGATTGACGAGGAGCAGATAGAAAGATCAATGCAAGAGAGAGACTGAGTGTGAGAGTCAAAATGGGTGGGAGCACCCGTATTTAAAACATGAAGAGGATTGGGGAGCATTAAAATTACCTAACAAGATGGGCGGCAGTAGAGAAGAGATCAAGAATGCAATATCCGAGATACAGAATGCACGGGAAGGGGAGAGATAGAGAGACCAAACTGTGTACCATCTGTGCAAATAAATACGGGCTGCAGTATACTACAGCAGAGAATGAACAAAGACCTGTTGATATGGTGTAACAATGAGCACAAGATGTACGCTCTCGTTAAATGATTCATCAGGAAAGGGGTCAGAAGAATGTAACAACACATAGCCCGAAATGGGACAAATAACAGCTGAACGAATTCTGGGCTCTTGTAACCCAACACATACTGGGGAAAACTAGGAGAGCAACACCTGGAGCTCTCCCCGATTACCCGAGGCCACGAATATTCCATTGTTAATAAGTCATTATTTACATAGACAGGTATGCCACCAATAAGAAGTGATAAAATCTGCGGGGTATTAGGGTCAGTGAAGTCAATGTGTGGAGGCAACGGTAAGCGTGTAAGCAAGGAGGAATCAGAATGCTGTGAAGGAAAAGATTGCTGCGAGGGTCGTGAAAAATAAGAAGGGTAGGAGGCGCATCAGTTGGAGAATGTGTCAAGTTTCTCAGTGGATATGGAAGATGCTGGTACCATGATTTCAGAGACAGGTGAGGTAGAGCAAGTAGAGATTGAGGAGACTATGGAGGGGACCAAAGAGGTCTGGGAGCAGAGGGGAGTATGAACCTGGAGAGATGCGTTGGCGGGGGCAGAAGAGTCCTGCAGTGGAACAGGAAAGGAAGGAGGTTGGAAGGTAACTGGGGAACAACAGGAGTAAAGGGGACTAAGGGGGGGATGAACCTCCACCTCCATGTGAGAGTCAGAAAGGGGGTTAGAACAAGGCACTGAGACTGAAAAGGAAAACTGTTGAGGAATTGTAAGCACTGGAGGAATGCAAAGAGACTTGGTCTTATAAAACAGGTTCAGCCTCGCAGATGATAGGTGCGAAAAAGATGTAGGCATGAGAGGTTTTGCAGACTGAGAAACTAGTGGGCGAGAAGTAGAGGTAGAGGTAGGTAAGCAGGTGGGGGTTTCAGAGGGTAAAACTACAAAAGAATTAGAGACAGGGGAGACCCCGGAAGACACAACGCTGGAGGAGCTGGTAGGCGGGGGGACTGCCAAGGTTGGAGGTCTCCTAGCTACTCTCGAATAAGGAATACGAAGAAGATTCCTCTGCAAGCAGAGCCGAGAGACAGCCATAGCATCAGTAAGGCCTTTGCTCTCCCTAAGACGACGGATTTCTCGTTCATTACGAGACCTGACAACGGCGGGAAAAAGAAGGACGAGGCTCACTGCAATTGAGACAAGTGGGGGAAAGACTGCAAGATGTATCAGTATGATCTGCAGCACCACAGACTGGACACTCCACCTCAGATCTGCAGTATTTAGCAGAGTATCCAAAGCATCAGCAATTTCGACACTGTTGGGGAGTAAGGACCACTTTATGGACTTCTAGGCGAGGACGGGAGTTCACGGCAAAGGTTAAGCAAGCGATGTTACTGGAAGAGCGCTTCCGCCCACGAGCGGGTAGGGCATATGTGTCCACTTTGAGAATAGGAAGGTCCTGAAGGGCTAATTGTTCTAAAATATCGTCACAGCAAGATAGAAAATCTGTACAATTGTACATGGTAAAACCACTGTACCACTGCAAGAATTGAGAGTAGTGTGCTTGTGAACTGTGATTGGAATATTATCTATGGGAGTAATATGGGAAAGATCATGAGCTTGTTCTGCATTCTGAACTGTAACAACACATGCACCACTCTGAAGAGCGTGAAAGGATATATTTTGGCCATGTCGTAAAAGAGCCTTACCAATACTATGGTCAGAAAGAAAATCAGTTGGCGATGTCAGTTGTAGGGAAAAGAATTTAGTCCACTGCGTACTTGTAAATAAGGTGCGTAAAGGAAGTGGGTGTTGCATAGGTCGTTTTTGGGTAGAATGAGTAGACATTGAAGAACCGTTGTCAGTAAATGGTCTGGAATGCTTAGGCGTAGTACCGTGGGCAGCCAGACCCGAGGTAGGTGGTGCGATCCGAAAACTACTGCACTGTATTCGGGGAAGCCAGACGCATAGTTAGAGGCATGCAAGAAGCAGAGGCAATAATAGAAATGGGCAGAGCCCCAGCATCTGGAGCAGGTGACGAAGCATCACCAGCAGAAGGTACAGGGGTATGGGAAGAGTCTAGAGAATGGCCCAATAACATAGCCGGGTCAGAACAGGATGTGGCAACAAGAAGGGGCCTGGGAGGAGGAAGGTTATCATGGAACAAAGACTCCATGATGATGGGACTTATTCCTTCTTATTATTTTAAGAAAAAAAAAAAGAACGAAGGAAAGAAAAAAAAGAGGGACAGTGGAGGGACAGTCCCTAGAAGGCATGAAAGGGCCGTAAGTTCCTCCTCTCATCCGAGAGGACCTCGAGACCACAAGCAGTGCAGATGCAGCAAGGAACCCATGCCATACCCTACCCGTCACACCAGTAAACCAGCGCTTCGAGATAGCAACCTCACATCTACCGAGCCACCTCGACGGACAAAAGAGAAGGCAGTCGGAAACCCGCCAAAAAGCATACCTCCTTCAGCTGCCACCTCCCATAATGGACAGGCAGCCTCTGGAGATACACCCATCATCTGCAGGACACCCTGCCCACTTCTCGGAAATCCGGGAAGGGAGCAGAGCACTTCCAGACAATTCAGATTCCATGGCAAACTACACCATCCCTGAGGGACCCCATGGAGTAGGATGAACCTCAGCACACTTTTCTCTACCTAGAAACCGTAATGCCAAAGGGTAGGACCCCACAGACTACAAATGGGACTGGAAAAGGGGAGAGTTGGGAGGGGGAGGAAATGGGAAAAAAGGGGGTGTATGGGGAGGATGGGATAGGGAAGGGAGGACTGGGGGGGTACTTAAGTTCGGTCTGAAGAAGGAGACCAAAGGTTTAATTCCTTAGACCAAGAGCCTCTTCACCGCATCAAGGAGCCCCCCTTGAAGAGGAGTTGAGAGTTAAAGGAGCTACCATTTGAGCCCCGTTTGGTGGAAGTGCTTAGACGCCGGTGAAGGGCTTTCGATTCAGAGAACTAGAGCTATTCTCCACTTCCTTGAACCCAACCTGATTCCCTTCCATTCCTAGGCACTGTGTGATCCCCAAGGGGTTTAGCACTTTCCCTCTGCTTTACGCTGTTATGTGCTAATCAGTATGTGCCCAGGTAAATGGAAGCAAATTTTAGAAATCAGCTCGTTGATTTTATAGCGTCAGTGATCAGACAACAGGGGCTCAGGCCTCATCAGGTGAAGAGCATTTTCCTGTTTCTGCCCGTGGCCCATAGAGAATATAATCATATTTGCCATCTCTAACTGCCAGATAAATCTGGCCAGTGTGGCCCGAGTTTTAGGATACACGTAAGACATAGTCACTTAAGGTAGCACGACTACTGTGAACCACACGAATCTGATTACAATGGTAGTGAAACAATGAGTCTTAACACAAGAGAAGATAAGGCAATGATTAGATAGGAGTTATCAGTGTAGTTTGAACAGCTGCGACAAAACTCAACCTTCCCTCATCAGGCACTACACTCCACCCACTTCTGTCAGACCCACTCTGCACCGCCACCACCCACTGCTGTCAGACCCACTCTACTCAACCACTACCATAACCATGACCTCCTCCAGAGCCACTTACGTCAAAGACCCAACTGGCCGTCATGAGGTAGAGCCACTACACGCCCGCACTAACTGGTACAATGTAAGCATTGCCACAATTCTCACCTACCGTTGCTCACCTCACACGTAAGTTGCAACCCGTCCTCAGATACTTGAGGTCATTTTTTTATACATAGTATAATGAAGTAGAAATATAAGTGTCTTGCATCTAGACCGGTTTCTATAGCATAAATGCGATTCCCAGCATGACATTTGTTCCATCGGCTGTGCTACTCCCCAAAATGCTTATCCTGAATTAACGATAACCTAACCTAAGTAATACTTGTAGATAAATCATAAGAAAAAGTTAAGTAAAAGGCTACCGGGTTTTATTTTAATATTATTAGTATCTATTTAACTTATGTCTGGTGGCAAAGCTAAAGTGTATTGTATTTTTACTAATACGTATGCTGAAATCCTACTTATGCAAAAAAAAAAAAAAGAGTAACATAGTAATCAAAGGACAGGTAGACAAGTTCATAGTTTTATTATCAGACAATATTAATTAATTGTTCGCAATAGTGTCTCATGACACTATGCAACTTTATCACAATATATAACTCGCTAACACCTACCTTCATATATGCCTCCACTCCTACCTACACACCCTCCCCCAAACTTGCACCCTTTAACACACTTCCCTCAACTAAAAGAGGGACACGAAGTCCCATCACCCATGTAGTAATTTATGATATTAATTTAGAACACATTCTTCCCCACGACTATCCAGACCATATTTTGATAAGCAAGTTAATTATTTACCTGTCGATGTTGTAACAAGCTCTTGCTATAAATTGCAGACTCTTGGTACCATGAACGATGCCTGACTGCAATAAGGTGGGACTCTAGGTACTCTTACATTAATGATTTTTCTAAAGGAACGGTGATCCGGGCACTGTTGAATAAATGATTTTCAAGAGGAGGAATTTGAGCACCATGTATAAAGTCTGGTTGCAACATGATTGCATTTTTTTCACGACAGTGAGGGATCTGGGTATCAGTGTGATCATGTTTGCTATAATAGGATGAGTCCACTAGCCCATTTGACTACCTCAGTGAAGCAATCGTAAATATATTAGAAGTGATCCTAACGTTGTACTAATCCTCATTACTGACATGACTGTGGTGGTTGTATCCAGTTTCACATAACATGTTATAAGCCACTCACGATACATTTTGTCATCACATCATCTCACAACACCCTGATTTTATACCATCATAAAACACACCCACATATTTTTTTTTCGCTAGTATATAGGGAAGGTTAAAGGCAAATTGTTAGAGCACATGGGAAGAAGTGTGTGAGGTGTATATGGAAAGGTGTACATGAGAGCGTGTACACGGGAAGGTACACATGTGAATCTGTATAAAAGGTGAACATGTGAACTTGTACATCAGAAGGTGCACATTTGAACATGTATGCCAGAAGGTGCACATGTGAATAGCTACACCAGAAGATGAACATAGAATACCTGGAGGCTGATCCGAGAGTCAATGCCCCCGCGGCCCGGTTCTCGACCTGGCCTCCGGGTGGATCAGGGCCTCAACAACCAATCCAACATACGAATCTAAGCCCGGCTGATTGGGAAATGACTTTAGGTACCTGTCCAGTTCCCTCTTGAAGGCAGCCAGGGGTCTATTGGCAATTACCCTTATGTATGGTGGGAGGCTGTTGAACAATCTTGGGCTCCGGACACTTACTGGTTTTTTTCTTAGCGTACGCGTGACACCTTTGCTTTTCATTAGAGGTATGTTGAACCATGGAGGGTGTCCCGCTAGCGCACTCGGCTCCCCGGTGCTGATGTAAACATTAGGACCCATTTCCTTAAGACACCTGATATCTCTATTCACCTCTCAGTAAGTTGACTGGTGTGGGTCCATCCCGGGGACAAAATTTACCTAATTTGCCCGAAATGCTCTGCATAACAAGGAGCTTTCTGTATAGCAATATATCATTGTTGTCAGCTAGGCCTGTATGTGTTATACATGTACTTATAGAAATAAAGATTATTATTATTATTCCTAGGTAGTAGGTTAGTAGATAGCAATTACCCAGGGAGGTACTACCGCTCTGCCAAGTGAGTGTGATACGGAAACCTGTAATTGTTTTACATGATGGTAGGATTGCTGGTGTCTTTTTTCTGTTTCATAAACACGCGGGATAACAGGTATATCTTGTTACTTCTACATACACTTAGGTCATACTACACATGCATGTACACGCATATATATTTTTACAAACCCATCTGGGTTTTCTTTTATTTTCTTAATAGTTCTTGTTCTTCTTTATTTGCCTGATCTCCATGGAAAAGTAAAAAAGAATTCTTCCTCTGCAAGCCATGCAGGTCGAAAGAGGTGACCAAAATGCCAGGAGCAAGGGGCTAGTAACCCCTTCTCCTGCATAATTTACTGAATTTTAAAAGAAAATTTTTCGTTTTTCTTTTTAGGTCACCCTGCCTCGGTGGGATACGGCTGGTTTGTTGAAATTATTATTATTATTATTATTATTATTATTATTATTATTATTATTATTATTATTATTATCATCTTCCTAGTCTTTTGCTTTCATAGGAATTGATTTCTGTGTGCAGATTTGAGACCAGTCCCTCTGCGATTTTCCAGGTGTAAATTATGATGTATTTCTCGCCTGCATTCTAGGGAGTACAGGTCAAAGGACTTCAAACGTTCCCAGTAATTATGGAGTTTAACTGAACAAATACGTGCAGTGAAGGTTCTCTATACATTGTCTAGTATTCCAGCCTAAAGAAAACAAGTGACTTTAAAAGAATCATCATTGGCATGGCATCCCTTGTTTTGAAAGTTCTTATTGCCCATTCTATCAGTTTCCTCGTAAATGTGATAAGAGACACTTGTGATCCTTGAAGGTGAGATGCTCTGACATCATCACTCCCAAATCCTTAGTTTTTCGTTTTATTGTGTGGTTAGAATTTGTTGTACACTCCTTTATAGCTATTATTTCCTGAAGTTTTCCATAACGGAGTAAGTGAAATTTGTCCTCATTGAACATATTGTTTTCTGCGGCCCACTGGAAAACATGGTCTAAATCTGCTTGGAAATTTACACTGTTCATAATGGATGACACTCATGCAGATTCTAATATAATTTGCAAAAGACACGGTGCTGTGGTTTACATCTCTGTATATGTCAGACATGAGGATGTCAGTTTAATATCTTTATTATGTACCCCATACCCATCCTGTAGGCGGTAGTCAAAAGATTACAGAGGTACATAATGGGTCCAGGGACTGGGCTCCAAAGGTAATGAATTCCAGGTAGATCTGGTCACAATCATGACCAAGTTACAAAGGTAATGAACCATCTACACGTCTATACATGGTTACAATCATGAACAAGTTACAAAATAATGAGCCATTCACACGCCCATGAGGATGGGGTACAGGATTGGGGCAAGTACTGTATTTTGTGGAACAGAGCTTTTCGTTGTGGCAGCCTCCGCCTTAAAACTCTGTTCTATTGGTTAGAAATAATCCATCTTTCTACTTTTCCAATTATTCTTTTAGCACATTTTGTGCGCTATTGCACCATGATCACACTTGTCAAAGGCTTTTGCAAAGTCTGTGTATACTACATGTGAATTCTGTTTGTCCTCCAGTGCATCCAAGACTATTTCATAGTGGTCCAGTAGTTTTGAGAGGCAGAAGCGACCCGCTATAAACCCTTGTTGCCTTGGGTTGTGCACCTGTTGGGAATCCAAGTGGTTGGCGATTATGCTTTTTAAAATTCTTTAAAAGATTTTTATAATGTGGGACGTTTAGAGCTATCGGGCTATAATTCTTTGCTATTACTTTGCTGACACCTTCATGGAGTTGGGTTATATCCGTTGTTTTTAGCAACTGTGGAATAACATCTGTGTTCAGACTTCCTCTCCATAGTATACCTAAGGCACACGAAAGGAGTTGCTTACAGGTTTTGATGAACAAGGAGTTTCACGAGTCTGGGCCTGGGACAGAGTGCATGGACATGTCGGTGTTTTTTTTTTTTTTTTTTTTTCAGTCCAGTGGAGTTAGGGTTATGTAAAATAAATTGATATACATTGACAAGTTTTTGAGACTTTATATGAAAAATTCATTCAGTTTGTTGATCTTTAATCTTATTAATGCTCGCTAAATACAAGAGTCACACTGAGACTTCAGTATCTTTCATTTCCTTGCTGTCGTGCGTTTAACTTTCCTCTTGTTTGAGCAAAGGCCCGATACTGGATGTGGTTTTTGCCTTGTTTTTGGCATTTGAAAAGAAATATTTTGGATTCCTTTCAATTTTATCAATTGATTTTAATTCCTGTCTCTCCTAGATCCTATATGAATCATTTAACTTATGTTTAATATTTTTCTATTTCTTAGTGGTTCCTTCCACATTTCAGATAGTCTAGCCCCTCTAAGAAGCTCAGTGACTTCGTCTTCACCTGTGTAGGGAGCGTCTTTCTCTTTTTCCAGTTTACATCTTCTCTTCTTTTCCTTAGGGTAATATTCTTTGAGTATATCTCAGCTTCCAAAGAGTTGATCCTTATCAAGTGAGTTATATCAAGTATAGCGCTTCCATATGAAAATAATAATTTCCCTTTCCAAGGGAGTTGTCAGGGACACCAATGTGAGAAGATTTGATAATGAGACTAATCTCTGCCATGGCTCTCCCCTCAGGGAAGGTTCCTTGATGTTGGTGAGGGGCTCTTGATTTAGGGAATTGGATCTGTGCTCCAGTTCCCCGAATTAAGCCTGAATGCCTTCCACATCCCCCCCAGGCGCTGTATAATCCTACAGGTTTAGCGCTTCCCCCTTGATTATAATAATAATAATCTGCCATGGCTCCATCACTTCCGCCACCACGAAGAGAGAACAGCTTATCTGAGGCAGACATGGTCAGGTGCAACACTGGGTTAAAAGAAGTAAATACTACAGTGCGAGTCTGGGTGAATGTTTACAGATAATACCATACTTACCTGATACCTCGAAACTTGCTGCATGCAGGTACTCACACTGTATCTGAACATTAAAACATCTAATAATGCATGCACACGTATAAATACATACAGACGAAGTAAATATACCCACTTCAGCCAAAACATACAAACACCAAACAACTTTTCCTGGGCAGACAAAAACAGAGAATATCTCTGCTAGTGTCCCTCGACCAATAGTTTTAAATGGTACGGTAAGTTGGTGACACCGATAAATTATGGAAAATGACACTTGTGTACAGTTCAGGGCATTTATTAAAAGAAATATTTCGCCACGAGCAGCAATCCACTAACTCTTGGCTAGTGGACAGTAACTGGGCACCATACCACCACTTCCATTACACAACAAACACAAATAGTTGTTTTTATGTTACAATTATGCAGTTTTCTGAGCGTGCTTGTATGTAATAGAGTTGTGTTCTGGTGGTGAGCAGGACTTCGAGGTGGAGAATGGTGTGAACAAGCGTATCAACTGCCTGGTAGCCTTCACTGTGATCTCCATCCTGCTAGCAGCAGCTGCACTCACCCTGGCTGTCCTACTTCTCTTCCAGGTAAGACATTCAACACATCATTCTCTCACCACCAGTCATAAATGTCCAGATTTAAACGTTGCTCATTTTTTTCGTCGCCTTGTCAGACGTATTACGTCCTTTATTTTTTAATCTGACTATTTGTTTAAATATGCGTTTTTATAAGTTTAAACCGAACTGACCGAAATTACTTCAGTCTGACTTAAAATAAAGACAAAATAAAAAAAAATTGACTGAGTACTACATCAAAACAGTGACGTAGAAGTGAGGTCATGTTAGCTTCTACGCAACGTAAGGCAACGGTTTGGCAGCAACTGACGGACGGAGAATGTAGCTTCAACCAGTCCTTCCTCTCAAGAGAGGTTTCTTGATGCTGGTGAGGGGCTTTTGACATAGGGAATTGGATCTGTGCTCCGGTTCACATGTCAAGATATCTTATTAATGAAAATAAGATACCAGATATACTAAGCAAATTTCCTAAATTTCCTTGTAACAGATAAGTGAACTATAGATATGTAGATATAAATCCATATGTATTCCTGTTAACCCTTTGGGGCCTAGTTCCTAGGCCTTTTGTGTATCCACATGCTCTCGCGCTACCGTCCACAGGATGGATATGGGGTGCACAATAAACTAGCCACTTCGGTGGTAAAATCTAATCTAATTCTCCGGTTCCTGAACTGAGCCTGAATATCTCCCATTAAACACACACATACGCTGTATAATCCTACTGGTTTAGCGCTCCCCCATGATTATAATAACAATTCAACCAGTCCTTGCACTTAGTGGCTCACACGGGTTTACAGCTTTCCATAAATAATATAATATATAACTAGGTCATTAAAATGTGAACTTTTCAGTTTATATGTCAAAAATGCACACGCATGCTAGTGGCTTTCTTCGGTCTTAACAATATTTTATTACACGTAAACTACATTATATGTATTGTGCATAAAAGAAATTAAATCAATGAGTATGAATTTGAATTTAAAAATATTATATTTATTAATGTGACGCAACAGAGACGTCTCGCGGATGGCCAATGTAAACAGACCAGTGACGTTTTCAGGTTATGAATCCTAACTTAATCTAACCTAAGCTAACCTGACCTGACCTGACCCGACCTAACCTAACCTAAGCTAACCTGGCCTGACCTGACCTGACCTAACTTAACCTAACCTAAGCTAACCTGACCTGACCCTACCTAACCTAACTTAACCTAAGCTAACCTGGCCTGAGCTGACCTGACTTAACCTAACTTAACCTAACCTAAGCTAACCTGACTTAACCTAACCTAACCTGACCTGACCTAACCTAACCTAACCTAAGCTAACCTGACCTGACCTAACCTAACCTAACCTAATGTAACCTAACCTAAGCTAATCTGACCTGATCTAACCTAACCTAAGCTAAACTGACCTGACCTAAGCTAATCTAACCTAGCCTAATCTAACCTAACCTAACCTAACCTAACCTGACCTGACCTGACCTAACCTAACCTTAACTAACCTAACCTGACTTAACCTAACCTGACCTTAACTAACCTGACCTGAATTTAACTAACCTAACCTGACCTAACATTAACCAACCTAACAGTTTTTTTCTTAATATCTACCAAATATAAATTTACACAAGAAATGCGTTCTTATTCCATGATGTACGTAGGTTGTATGTCCTAGTTCTACCGAGTAGTTGTGTTGTGGGTGGCATCCTGGGGAGGGACCTCAGAATCTGTGGTAATAAGCTACGATATACGGATTTCTTGGATTATTCTGAGTTATTAGCTCTCTTCATTAATTCCAGATTAAGTTGAAGATACAGTAAGTACGTGCAAGGAGAGCTAGTTAAAAGAAGCAGAGGAGAGACTTCAGCCAAGAAGAAAAACTAATGGTGTTAGTAGCCAGGAAAAAACATTGCTCACTAATAAAGGCAGATGACCGAATGATCACACTTGTGAGACATACATAAAAAATAAGTTACTTTTATTTTTTTACCTGAATGAAGTTTGAATATAATGATCGGATCAGTGGAGCAGTTAGGTATATGTGACCGTCTAACACTCAGCACATGTCAACACTAGCACCGCAAAGTTACACGTTATATAAAATTTCTTTTACTCACACACATAAGGAAAATATTTATAATTAATTATTTTTAAAAGCATCTGTGATAAAATATACCATAACATTTTTTAATCTTTATTCCTGGAAGTACATGTACAAGGTATACAGGCCTAGCTGACATCAGTGACATATTATATAGAAAGTCCCTTGTTATGCAGAGCATTGCGAGCAAATTATGTCAGTTTTGTCCCCAGGATGCGACCCACACCAGTCGGCTAACACCCAGGTACCTATCTACTGCTAGGTGAACAGGACCAGCAGGTGTCTTCAGGAAACACGATGGGGTAATGTTTAGGTACTGTGGTTAATAATTAAAGAATTCCAGATCAACCTCCGGATGTATTGATTATACTGGTAAGAATAACAAGGGCAGTATGAACTGACCTAAGACTGTCTGACTCAAGAATCAAGGAACAAATATAATTCAGAAATTATCATAGGAAGCCCAGAAGATTGATAACCTCGTCAACCAATTATGTGATCAATTATTTAATAACAACGTTCTGTGTCCTGATTATCCCCCTACATGTTCCAATGTTTTATTTTATTCATTACCTTCTAGTTTCTTTATTTCTTGTTATCTGCATAATATTCACACCAAGTACTGGTGTGAATATTATGCAGTACTGATCTCAGACACGATATTTCTGCTGCCTAAAGCCTCTTCAAAAGTGTCGACACTACTACAGTAAAAAGTAATCATTATTTGCATAAACTGACAAACTTCTTTTTTTTCACAAATTCCTTAACGCTCCTTAAACTTTCATTCCTTTATTTGTTCTATGATTTATCGCATTTTCCATTACACCTGATAAAGCAACGCTGATATTGAATGTTCATGTTTATTTTATTTACATAAAACCGAACATTGGAATATAAACAACTTGTGTTGGCAGGGGATGGAGAAGACTGTGAGGGACGAAGCTGACATCACTTCCCTTAGGCAGCAAATTAAGCAACTAGGCAAGCAGGTAGGTCCTCTCGCACTCTCTCCCTCTTTACCTTCGTGGGGAAGTCTGGCTGTTAGCTCTGTATGACCTATTTGTAGTTGAAGGGGTTGAGTCTCAGCTCCTGGTCCCACTTCTCAAACTGGCCGTTACTGAGTAAACTGGTTTCGCGAGATCTATCATGCCTATAACATTTCACTGTCCAAGTCGTTCCATTTCCTGAAAACTCTGAGGCTGAATAAATATTTCCCCACACCTCCATGATTCATTTGTGCTTATAACTTCCAGGTGTGTCCTCGTGTACTTGTCCAACGTCTCTAACAACCTGTCCCTTTCTACTCTATCAGTTCCTCTGGGCATTTTGTATGTCGTTCCTAGTCCTTTAATGTTAATAAGGTTTGGCTTCTTTAGTTTCTCCTTATAACTCATCCCTTAACTGTGGGATCACTCTCTCTGCAAACCTCTTGTTTTCCTCCCGTTTATGGTTAATCAGGTGTGGGTTCCATACAGGTGCTGCATACTCCAAGACGGGCCTGAAATATGTCGAAATTCCTGAAAGTTACTCTTCGATTTGCCAGTTTTGTATTTGCTGCAGAGGTTATTCGGTTGATGTGCGCCTCTTGCGATATGCTCTGTGTGCTACGCTCTCCCTGAGTATTATGTATTATGTTTGTCTCCCCAACTGATAAACTCGGGGAAAAGATAAACACAATAAAACACTGTGTGTACTCACCCAGTCGTGTTGCAGGTTGATCACAGCTTGTTTGGTGGGGTTTGTGTTTTGTGTTTTGTGTGTTGTGTGTGTGTGTTTGTGTGACCACCTAGCTGGGTTGCAGAGGGGCGATCACAGCTCCTGGCCCCGCCCTTCATGTCGTGCGTGTGAAAGTTGCCTATTTTGTACTTATATTTGTGGGTTCAGGGGGATCACAGTCCAGGCCCGCCTTTCGCTGGTCCATGGGACTCTCTCCCTTTTCCATGAGCTTTACCCTATCTCTTAAAACTGTTTATGGATCCCCGCCTCCACTACATCCCTTTCCCGATCGTTCCCTTTTCCCAAACTCTATGGTTTTAAAAAAATACTTTCCTAACACCTTTAACTCATCTGAACTTCAGTTTCTATTTTTAACCCTTTTTGCTGGTCCCATCTCAGAAACACCTGTTCATATCTACCTTGCAATTTCCCCTTTAGTATTTTTTTTCGTTTCATGTCATCCCATCCCTCCTGTCCTCCACTGTCGTCAGGCGATTTTCATTAACCTTCCTTGTAGGACTACCCCTTTGCTCCAGGACTAGTCTTGTTTCAAAAACCCTTTTTACTTTCTCTAATTTCTTGACGTATTTACCAGGTTTGGGGTTTTAAATGATGCTGCATACTCCAATATTGGCCTGACGTACACGATGTAAGATCTTTAAAGATTTCCCTTCTGATGTGTCGAAAAGCTATTCTAATTTTTTTCCCGGCGCCCATATGATGCACGTTATTTTGGTTGATGTGCGCCCCAATTTGCTCGGTGTTTACTCCCCCCAAGACCTTTTCTTTGATGGGTTTATAGCTTTGCCCCCCCCCCCCCTGTACTTGTCTGTGGGTTTTTTTGCCCTTTTCCCCAAACTTCATGACTTTTTCACTTGGTAGGGTTTAACCCAACAGCCCGTTTGCTGGACCGGCTTGCGCTTGTCCAGATCCCTTTTAAGTCCTGCTTGGTTTTCTCCCATTTAAAAACTCCTCATTAGCTTTACTCATCTGGAAACAAAGACACTTCTGATTTTCCCGTCAGTCATTTACATAGCCAAAACACACCGGTCCTAGGACTGACCCCGTGGAACCCCCCTCGTCACACGCCCATCTACACCTCGCACGGGACCAGACCGCGGTTGCCTTCCTTCAGTATTTTCTGATCTATTGAGTGCCTTTCCTTTTTTTACCGCCTGATCCCCCCGCTTTTTAGTTATCTCTTGTGTTTTGTGTGTGTGTTGTGTGTTTGGGGTTTTGGTGTGTGTGTGTGGTTTGTGTGTGTTGTTATGGGGGTGTGTGTGTGTGTGTGTGTGGTGTGTGTGGGGTGTGTGTGGTGTTGTGTGTTATGTTTGTGTGGGTGTGTGTGTGTGTGTGGTGTGTGTGTGTGTGTGTGTGGTGTGTGGTGTGTGTGTGTACTCACCTAGTTGAGGTTTCGGGGGGGCGAGTCCCAGCTCCTGGCCCCCCTCTTCACTGATCGCTATAGGGCACTCTCCCGACCGTGACTTTTTCAACCTCTGCTTAAAGCTTGAGGATCCTGCCCCACACATCCTTCCCAAAATATTCCACTTACGACTACCTGTGGGTGAAGAAATACTTCCTAACATCCCCGTGATTCATCTGTGCTTTAGCTTCCAACTGTGTCCCCCTTGTTCTGTGTCCATCTCGGAACATCCTGCTTTTTCCACCTTTTCAATTCCTCTCGATTTTTGTAGCGTTTTCAGTCCCCCCTATCCCCTGTCCTCCAGTGTCGTTAGTTGATTTCCCCCAACCCCCCTCGTAGGACATACCCCTTAGCTCTGGGACAGTCTTGTTTCAAACCTTTTCACTTTCTCTAGTTTTTTTCACGTCTTGGCTAGGGGTGGGTTTCCAAATTGCCGCATACCCCAAAATGGGCCAACATACAGGGGTACAGGGGGCCCGAATGATTCCTTATTAAAATGTCCCGAATGCTGTTTTTGAGTTTGCTAGGCGCCCATATGCTGCAGCAGTTATTTTTTTATGTGCGCTTCAGGGGAAATTCCTGGGGTTATACTCACCCCAAATCTTTTTCCTTGAGTGAGGTTTTATCTCTGACCCCCCTAACTGTACTCCGTCTGGGCCCTTCTTTTTTTTCCCCTTCCCCCAAACTTCATGACTTTGCATTGGTGGGGTTGAACTCCGGACCAATTGCTGGGCCCGGTCTGCAGCCTTCCCCGATCCCCTTTTTAGTTCTGCCCCGGGCTTCGATCAGTGAATTCTTCTCATCAACTTCACGTCATCTGCAAACAGGGGCACCTCAGAGTCTATTCCTTCCGTCATGTCGTTCACAAATACAGAAACAGCACTGTCCTAGGACTGACCCCTGCGGGACCCCGCTGGTCACAGGTGCCCACTCTGACACCTCGCCCAGTACCATGACTCGCTGCTGTCTTCCTGACAAGTATTCCCTGATCCATTGTAGTGCCTTCCCTGTTATCCCTGCTTGGTCCTCCAGTTTTTGCACCAATCTCTTGTGTGAACTGTGTCAAACGCCTTCTTGCAGTCCAAGAAAATGCAATCCACCCACCCCTCTCTCTCTTGTCTTACTGCTGTCACCATGTCATAGAACTCCAGTAGGTTTGTGACACAGGATTTCCCGTCCCTGAAACCATGTTGGCTGCTGTTGATGAGATCATTCCTTTCTAGGTGTTCCACCACTCTTCTCCTGATAATCTTCTCCATGATTTTGCATACTATACATGTCAGTGACACTGGTCTGTAGTTTAATGCTTCATGTCTGTCTCCTTTTTTAAAGATTGGGACTACATTTGCTGTCTTCCATGCCTCAGGGAATCTCCCTGTTTCGATAGATGTATTGAATATTGTTGTTAGGGTACACAAAGCGCCTCTGCTCCCTCTCTCAATACCCATGGGGAGATGTTATCTGGCCCCATTGCCTTTGAGGTATCTAGCTCACTCAGAAGCCTCTTCACTTCTTCCTCGGTTGTGTGCACTGTGTCCAGCACTTGGTGGTGTGCCCCACCTCTCCGTCTTTCTGGAGTCCCTTCTGTCTCCTCTGTGAACACTTCTTTGAATCTCTTGTTGAGTTCTTCACATACTTCACGGTCATTTCTTGTTGTCTCTCCTCCTTCCTTCCTTAGCCTGATTACCTGGTCCTTGACTGTTGTTTTCCTCCTGATGTGGCTGTACAACAGTTTCGGGTCAGATTTGGCTTTCGCTGCTATGTCATTTTCATATTGTCTATGGGCCTCCCTTCTTATCTGTGCATATTCGTTTCTGGCTCTACGACTGTTCTCCTTATTCTCCTGGGTCCTTTGCCTTCTATATTTTCTTCCATTCCCTAGCACACTTGGTTTTTGCCTCCCTGCACCTTTGGGTAAAAGTAAACATGGGCTCATCCTGGCTTTTTTCATTAATTCCTGTTACCCTTGGGTTACCAAACCTCTCCTCAGCTCCTTGCATTTTGCTTTGCTACATATATCCATCATTCTCATTAAACTGGCTTCACTGCAGTTCTGTGTTCCACTGAAACCCGTTCAGGTAGTTCCTTCATTCATGGTAGTCCCCTTTCTTGTAGTTTTGGGCTTTTCATTCGTCCTGGCCTTCCTGCTTCTCCCTCCCACTTGTAGATCCTATGTGTATTCGAAGCTTAAAACCACATGGTCACTGGCCCCATAAGGGTCTTTCATATGTGATGTCCTCGATATCTGCACTAATCAAGGTGAATACTAAGTCCCAGGCCTTGCTGGTTCCATCCTCTCCTCTCTCTCTTGATAGTGTCCCTTACGTGTTGGGCACAGGAAGTTTTCCAGTAACCACCTCATCATCTATAGCCCCTCCATGTATTCTTGGCCCCTCCCTGATGTGGGTCAAGTTTCTCCCATTCGATCTCCTTGTGGTTAAAGGTTCACCCATGATCAGGATCTTTGCCCTGCATGCATGGCTCTTCTGGCCACTCTAGCCAGTGTGTTCAACCATCGCTTCTATTGCTCTCGTCGTACTCTTGCCTTGGGCCTCCTGCTGTTCTGTGGTGGGCGTTATACATCACTGTTTACCACCCTTGGGCCCTCCAGAGTGAAGTGTTCCCACTTTTTACCCTTTTGTAATCATTTTTCTCGCTGTTTCCTCTCCTCCAGGCTCATCAAAAATTCCAGCGATTTTTGATCAGCAACGCCACTCCTCACCCCCCCTGTTTCCGCTCCTGTCTTTTCCTCTGGATTTGGTATCCGTTGGAAAGATCGGCTTTCTGTTTCATACCTGTAAGCTTGGTTTCTGTGAGAGCTTTGTATGTCCGGTGATGCTTCTTTGGACCTTTCATGCCACTCCTCCCAAATTATTTGTATTCCATCAGCGTTTGTGTAACCTTACCTTCAGTTTCCTTTCCAACACTGTGGTTTGGGGGCCTATGAGGGTGGGAGACCTGGTGGCATACTGTGGGATTCTATAGCTCGTGTTGGTGGAGGCTGTGGGTATGGATTGTAGTGTGTGTTGGGATGGTGTGATAGGTTGTATGGTTCTGAGAGTATTGTGTGTGTGCTTGCCCTTGCTGTTCTGTTCTGCTCTGACTGACCTCTGCTGGTTCCCTCCGTGTGTGTGTGTGTGTGTGTGTGTGTGTGTGTGTGTGTGTGTGTATATGTGTGTGTGTGTGTGTGTGTGTGTGTCGCTCTTTTTCTACTTTACCGTCAGATTCTAGTCCGCGAGAAAGTCAGGCAGCACATTTATATTTAGTCAGATCTCTGAATAGGCAAACATATATTATCAGCCATGTTCTCCTTTATGAGCTGACCTTTGGCAGATGATACTGTGTCCGCAGGCGGAGAATTCTGATTCAGCTGGCGGTGGTATGACTCTACGTCCCTTCAAAGATGAGGAAGTACCCGAAGAGGAGCCCCAAGAGGACGGCTTGCTGAGGAAACTGAAGACTCCGCAAGATGTGTTGGAACCCCCGTCAGACGAGGCTTCCCCATTGAGTGAGGACGACACACATTATGACCACGACGACGTGCCTTTTCCCTTGTCTCCCATCGTCAGCGACGACGAGGAAAGTAACTACGAGGGATCCGGGGAGTGTCCCAATTACCCAAGACCTGTCTGTCCTCAGAGTAATCATTCCCTCTGTTACGAGATGGATCCCTCACGCTGCCCCATTCCTGTCTGCTGTGTCCCAGTATGACCACGCTATATACATGCCCTATGACCACATCACACACAAATACACATTTATATATATATATATATATATATAGTATATATATATAAATATATATATATATATATATATACATACATATAATATATAATATATATATATATATATATATATATATATATATATATAATATTATATATATATATATAATTATATATATGCAAAACAACCACTGTGAAAGAAAAAAGAAATTCCAAGCGCTTTCGTGACTACTCACATTCCTTGATAATGTGAGTAGTCACGAAAGCGCTTGGAATTTCTCTATTCTTTCACAGTGGTGTTTTGCTTATTTTGAAATCACCTGTTTACTGTGATCTTATTGCATATATATATATATATGATATATATATATATATATATAATATATATATATATATATATATATATATATATAATATATATATATAATATATATATAGGATGTTTACTATCTTAGTATAATAGCGACATCTTAGCCCTTGCACTTCATTTGTTTTTCCTTCTTCATCTGTTATGTCAAGCATGAACGCAAAAATATCAACATTTAGATTTAAGAATAAACGTATTTGCAACACTTGCGTATCTTTGTTGGATAAACATTTCTCCTGCGCAGCAGGCTTCTTGTGTTAATGTAATACAGAAGAGTGAGGACGGAGAATTTTAACTGGAGCCAGTGGAAGTAGTGGTGAGGGGCAGCAGCTGAAGACATCGTCACAAATGGACGGGAGCCACTGTTATCTACGTGAAGTTGGTCATACATATAAGGTGGGCCACATAATAACAATGGGGTTGTATAACTTTGATCTGATAATATTTGCATGTAAGGTTCATTTTGTAATTATCAGCTGGTAACAGAGGAGAGTTACAGTACTGTATGTTACTGCTGTCTCACCTCCATTACTTCATCACATTCTTCTTGAAGTTCTCACTGCCTGTAATACTTTCCGACCTTCAAGTATTCCTTCACTCTCTGAAAAAAAAAAACTTTGAAGTATTCTTTCGGCTTCAGTTTTTTTTTTTTTTATCAGTTTATAATTTTGTCTTCCTATTCCTACTGTTTCAAAAATATCTTTCCTCTCTGGTCATAATATATATTGTTTTTATAAATTTGCAACTGGGTATCATGTTTTCCTTTATTTATCTCTTTTCCGACCAAGTTATTTCCAAAAGGCATAAATTTATATTCTTTTGCAGTTTGTTCTTTATAACAGTTAATTATACTTACAATTCTTTAAATCTCAAATATGTTAAAAACTTATATTCTTATTCTCATATATTTACATTCATAATTGAGCTTTAAAGAAATAGTTCATCTGTTTGTTTGTTTTGTTTTTAATACTTTATTTAGTTGTGTTATTTCTCAGATGAAATTGACTTTTATAAGTTATAATATGAGAGTGTAAGTTGTACTAGTGTGAGCGTCCATAATAACACATCTTGTAGTGACTCTGGTTATATTAATAACAACCTATAAATATACTAGACTATGGCTCATATAATATTCTTATGATCACTTACAATGATATTCTTTATCTACTTATATACACATTCTTATAGACTTACTAAATTATAACTCAAATAATTTTCTTATGATCACTTACAGTGATATTCTTTATTTTTATTTTATTATTATCACACTGGCCGATTCCCACCAAGGCAGGGTGGCCCGAAAAAGAAAAACTTTCACCATCATTCACTCCATCACTGTCTTGCCAGAAAGGTGCTTTACACTACAGTTTTTAAACTGCAACATTAACACCCCTCCTTCAGAGTGCAGACACTGTACTTTGAAGGAGGGGTGTTAATGTTGCAGTTTAAAAACTGTAGTGTAAAGCACCTTTCTGGCAAGACAGTGATGGAGTGAATGATGGTGAAAGTTTTTCTTTTTCGGGCCACCCTGCCTTGGTGGGAATCGGCCAGTGTGATAATAATAAAACAAAAATAAAGAATATCACTGTATATACGAGTTACATATTCATTTAGTAATTTTTTTATTGTTATACCTTAATGTTGTTATATACAATGTTTATTATCCTTGTAGTCTTAAGTTAAGCTTAAGCTTATGTTTATTATCCTTGTAGTCTTAAGTTAAGCTTAAGCTTGACGGAAATGTTTTATATAACCATCGACTTTCAAGATGCATTTCAAGTGTCGCCTGTTTCTGTACAAACAATGTATCATGTAGAAATAAATCTTTGAATGTGAAAAAAATCTATTTTGTCTGTGTATCATAGTTGGGAACACTGTATTATAAACACTTTACCTCATACGGGAACACTGTATTACAAACAGTTTACCTCATACGGGAACACTGTATTACAAACACTTTACCTCATACGGGAACACTGTATTACAAACAGTTTACCTCATACGGGAACACTGTATTACAAACACTTTACCTCATACGGGAACACTGTATTACAAACACTTTACCTCATACGGGAACACTGTATTACAAACACTTTACCTCATACGGGAACACTGTATTACAAACACTTTACCTCATACGGGAACACTGTATTACAAACAGTTTACCTCATACGGGAACACTGTATTACAAACAGTTTACCTCATACGGGAACACTGTATTACAAACAGTTTACCTCATACGGGAACACTGTATTACAAACAGTTTACCTCATACGGGAACACTGTATTACAAACAGTTTACCTCATACGGGAACACTGTATTACAAACACTTTACCTCATTACGAAACACTGTATTACAAACAGTTTACCTCATACGGGAACACTTTTATTACTAAACAGTTTACCTCATACGGGAACACTGTATTACAAACACTTTACCTCATACGGGAACACTGTATTACAAACAGTTTACCTCATACGGGAACACTGTAATACAAACAGTTTACCTCATACATAATATTGTTAACTGTTCAACATTTCCTCATCCACACTGTGAAAAGCGATATTAAAACTGATCATTACGTGAAAATCATCTCGTTATTTTAATTATTCTCTTGTTTGTTGTCATGTTGACAATCATCCACACATCTTGTTCTAGATGTTCTTAAGATGTTATAAATGTGTGTTCTGTGTGCGGGTTTATATCTCTATCCCTCACTTCCGGTGCATGACAGTCTTAAACAAAATGTAACATCATCATGCACTCATCACGCACTCATCATACACTCATCATACACTCATCATGCACTCATCATGCACTCATCATGCACTCATCATGCACTCATCATGCACTCATCATCTTACTCTTATTGTTCACAAGTTTTATTGACTTTATAGATTTTTTTTTATGTTTTAAAAGCTTTTTTTTCGGACTATCTGCAAAGACTGTCACTGGTGCCAGTACTGATACTTGTGGCACTCTGGTAGTGACTGCATCATAACATTACTAGTGCCAGTACTGATACTTGTGGCACTCTGGTAGTGACTGTATCTTAACATTACTAGTGCCAGTACTGATACTTGTGGCACTCTGGTAGTGACTATCATAACATTACTAGTGCCAGTACTGATACTTGTGGCACTCTGGTAGTGACTGTATCATAACATTACTAGTGCCAGTACTGATACTTGTGGCACTCTGGTAGTGACTGTATCATAACATTACTAGTGCCAGTACTGATACTTGTGGCACTCTGGTAGTGACTGTATCATAACATTACTAGTGCCAGTACTGTTACTTGTGGCACTCTGGTAGTGACTGTATCATAACATTACTAGTGCCAGTACTGATACTTGTGGCACTCTGGTAGTGACTGTATCATAACATTACTAGTGCCAGTACTGATACTTGTGGCACTCTGGTAGTGACTGTATCATAACATTACTAGTGCCAGTACTGATACTTGTGGCACTTGGTAGTGATGTATCATAACATTACTAGTGCCAGTACTGTTACTTGTGGCACTCTGGTAGTGACTGCATCATAACATTACTAGTGCCAGTACTGATACTTGTGGCACTCTGGTAGTGACTGTATCATAACATTACTAGTGCCAGTACTGTTACTTGTGGCACTCTGGTAGTGACTGTATCATAACATTACTAGTGCCAATACTGATACTTGTGGCACTCTGGTAGTGACTGTATCATAACATTACTAGTGCCAGTACTGATATTTGTGGCACTCTGGTAGTGACTGCATCATAACATTACTAGTGCCAGTACTGATACTTGTGGCACTCTGGTAGTGACTGTATCATAACATTACTAGTGCCAGTACTGATACTTGTGGCACTCTGGTAGTGACTGTATCATAACATTACTAGTGCCCGTACTGATACTTGTGGCACTCTGGTAGTGACTGTATCATAACAATACTAGTGCCAGTACTGATACTTGTGGCACTCTGGTAGTGACTGTTTCATAACATTACTAGTTTCCAGTACTGATACTTGTGGCACTCTGGTAGTGACTGTATCATAACATTATTAGTTGCCAGTATGATACTTGTGGCACTCTGGTAGTGACTGTATCATAACATTACTAGTGCCAGTACTGATACTTGTGGCACTCTGGTAGTGACTGTATCATAACATTACTAGTGCCAGTACTGATACTTGTGGCACTCTGGTAGTGACTGTATCTTAACATTACTAGTGCCAGTACTGATTTCTTGTGGCACTCTGGTAGTGGACTGTATCATAACATTACTAGTGCCAGTACTGATACTTGTGGCACTCTGGTAGTGACTGTATCATAACATTACTAGTGCCAGTACTGATACTTGTGGCACTCTGGTAGTGACTGTATCATAACATTACTAGTGCCAGTAAATGATACTTGTGGCACTCTGGTAGTGACTGTATCATAACATTACTAGTGCCAGTACTGATACTTGTGGCACTCTGGTGTGACTGTATCATAACATTACTAGTGCCAGTAATGATACTTGTGGCACTCTGGTAGTGACTGTATCATAACATTACTAGTGCCAGTATGATACTTGTGGCACTCTGGTAGTGACTGTATCATAACATTACTAGTGCCAGTACTGATACTTGTGGCACTCTGGTTTGTGACTTATCATAACATTACTAGTGCCAGTACTGATACTTGTG